AATTAAAATAGATTATCTTAATAAAATTTTAAGTAATTTGACTTTATTTAATTGTCCAAAATTGTCCAAACTACTGCCGAAAGCTGTCCATTGACAACACTGGCCACACCCCCATGATTCCTTTTCTTTATTTTTTTCATTTTCCTTATTTTCCTTATATCCCTTATATTCCTGTCCTAAAGGATATGATATAGATGTTAATATATAATAATAAGAAATAAAATAAAAATCTGTTATCACTCACCAGGCATGAGCATATTATTTATATAATTTGAATCGTCTATTTTTTCATCTCTTGGTTTTGTACAATATCCGACTCCAATCATTCTATTAAGAAAATAGAATTATAAAAAAATTCACAAAACAAAGGTGATTTTTATAATACGAATTAATTATTAATATTACCCATTTTTTCCTTTGTTTATAATTTTAATTTCAAAGTAAAATATCTCACACTGTGAAGAGATTGGATGATTTGCTCGAATTATAACAGCTTTAAAATCATCAGGATCTTCAATTCAAAGGTTTTTAAGAAATTAAAAAGTTTTGATAATATTTTAATTATCAGTAAATCAAGATGTTAATATGATAATTTTGTGAGATTTTTTCTAATTTTCATCTTACCTGTATAAGTCACTTTAAGTCCACTTAAATCTATGTCAATAAATGGTGATTTATTATTAATATCCCATGCAGTCGGTAAAACAATATCATTATATAGAGTTGTCATTTTAAATCTTTAAAATTTTTCAGGTGTGAACTATGCAAAAAGCATAGAGCTATTTGAACAACTGGGTGTCTACTTTTATAGGATCATGTAACGTCACTCGACCTGGATTTCCGAAGCACAAAATTCATTTCATAGTATAATGAGCATAAGGAATATCCGGAGTAAAGAGTTAATAGATTTAAAAGGTTTTATAGTTTTAATTATTTAAAGAGACAGTTTTTTGAGAGCTATATTAGATAAAAAGGATAAATCGTGTGTAATCAATCAATCGCTCATAAGTAAAATTCATTATATAAATAAAGCGTATATGTTTACTCTTTTTCAGATCAACATACCTCGCAAATTTTATTCTTCTTTCTATTTATACTCCATTATCTAATCGTAATCTATTACTTCAACGATTCCTAAACCCCAAATCTAAATCCAGACCCAATACCAGTAGCCTCATACCCACCCGACTGCCTTAGCACAAAGTACAATACCATATTAATTAGGTTTTCACCATTTTGACAAGTGCTTAATTAAGATTGTATATTTATTTTTCTGAATATTTAATATTTTTGCTTTTTGTTACTTTGAATTTTTTAACGGGCTGATAATCACTGATCGGCAAAGACTATAGCGAAAGACTGAAAGAGCGAAAGACTAAGACGGGAGAGTTTGCTGATCATTTCTAAATCTTTCGAGTTGACCTAAATTACCGGGTCGGAATGTCCGGAATGCATCGTGGTTAGAGTTAGCTATTCTGGTTAGCAGGAGCTATAGTAAAATTATCAGCTGGACATTTTTTACTTAATGAACAACTATGGTAAAATTCTTAGTGATCTTGGGCAAAATCGATCAATTCCGGCCCATCCGACCAGGATTCCGATGCATCCTGACCCGGAATTTTGGGATCCCCTTTGTGAGTTCGTAATAAAGTCAACGGATTGTTATAAAACCGACAACAGAACCAGTTATGATCTAGACAAAATAACCTTCTCCCACATATTGTAGTCACTAACCTAATAATGGTAAGGATTGTCGTGAGAATAAATCTATCGGTCGCGAATTTTGGTCTGAATTACATCTCCCTCTCGATAGTTATAACTGGCTGGCCTGCATTATGCAGGCGGAAAACAGCCGAACCACTCCGGGATCACCAATATTAATTGTGTTTTAATGATGCAACTAATGTATTTACCAAGTAAAATTCATCTCGGATTATGAAACATGTAAGCAATGCTCTTCAACATTATTGAACACGGCTTAAAACAGAGGTACGTAGACAAAATCGATTAAATTGATATTTAAAATTTAAAGGATTAAAATAAAATTATCATACAATTATGAATATTCACAGAATTGCGAATATAATTGAATAGCTTATTTTAAAATGTACTGACTTTTATATTCACAAATTAATACGAAATAAAAAATATTGATTTAAATATTCGTAAATTTGAATAGCTTACTGATTAATGCAAAATTAGATAACAGTATAATAGAATTAAGCTTTACTAGCTAAAATAGTGATGTTTTGAGATGTGTTAATTCCGAAACACCCTAATAGTAAAGATTCGTGAACTTGAATATTTTTATTTTATTAAATGTATAATTGGTTAATAACCAATCTTTATATTGTGCGTACCCTGTTCCCGTCTTAAAGTATACTAGCTAATACAGTAATGTATAAACAGTAATATACGATATTTGAGTACTCACAAATTTTCGAATAGCCTAAATTTAAGTATATACATCGGTTAACAATCTATCTTTATGCTCGCTAACTTATCATAGTTGATGTAAATAGATAAATTACTGCAGTGCATTAATAAGTATTTGCAAAATCATATTGACAAAAATCTTTGATAAGTACCGTAATCGCCGTATACAAGACCCCTATGATAGCAGACCCACCACGTAGCATACCTGGTGCGAATAACGGTTCTATATTAATCAAACCTGGATTTTTTCAAATATCTAGATCGCAAAATTTATATACTCTTAATGATATGAATTGGTGGAATGTAAGAGACCCGGGTCCTGAATACGGTGATTTACGGTACAGTAACTACCATGTACAAGATCCGGGTCGGAGTATGGTACATGACTGAGAGTTTATATCATAGAGTAATAATTTGAAACGCATACACACTTTGCATTTATAATATATATACAATCTAGATGTATAAAAAGAACCATCTTAATTAAGAAAAACCCGAAATCTGCACCGAGTCTAGTACATAGTGGGTCAGATATCTGGAGGTGTCTCATATATGGTAGTTTACAGTAACAAAAAGTCAAGAATTTTTAGTAGCAGAATTTAGTAAATTAAAATGATTATTTGTGCTCACACTAAAAAAAAACCAAAATTTCATGAAACGTGACTACTGGAAAGGTTAGTTAATGTTTTAAAAAATAAAACTTTAAATTTGATCAAAAAATATGGACTAGTTTAAATCGGATTTTTAAACGTGATTTCCTTTTGCACCTAATCTGTAATTTGATGCAGATTTTCTTTTCGTGGTCTTATTAGGATAGCCTACTGGTTAAGCTGGCTTTTAGATACTCCCTTTAGCCCTTTTTACTTGCTGAAGGACATTCGTTTCTTACTGGACACTCTAAACACTTTGGATATCTTGGCAAGCATGTAATCTGACCAAACCCAACAAACATTGGATTTATTTCTTGCCAAAACGAATATGGAAACCAGGATTCCAATGCCTTTAAAAAAAATTAATTTTAGAATGAGTAAAAATAAGAAAAGAAATATAAAAAACATTACCTGACGAGTAGCTTCTGGTCCTTCCTTTTCAGTTCGACACCAACCTAATCGATTTGCGATACGATGTACATGAACATCTACGCCAATACCCTGATTTCTTTCAGAAAAAAAAAGTCAAAGAATAGATTATTATGAATGGAATTGTCAAAAAATAAAATTTACTGTTTCCACGCCACGTGCATGCAAAGGTATGCCTACGAATATAATTGATAATATAAGTCCAAAGACAGCATGCAATGATTTATCAAATAATGACGTCACTACAGTAGACACCAACCATTTTTGGACCAACACCCGGTAATTTCATTAATCCTTCCACACTACTGGGGATATCCCCATCATATTCTTCCTTACAGATTTTCGCAGCTTGCTTAATATATCTATTAAATAAAAATGATAACTATAATGTTTACTCTAGAATATTTAAGTGTTATTAAAAGAAATCAATTTCTCACTTTGCTTTTCTACGGTGAAATCCTACTTTTGAAATACATTGATCTAGGAATTCCTCATCTACTTGCATTATACTTTCCATATTTAGGCCTCCTTTAAGTTGTTGACGAAGGTTTTGCATAGCTGCAGCAGTAACTTGATCTTTAGTTTGCGATGAGAGCATCAGTGCTATGAGACTCTGAAATCTGGAAGTCTTATGAAATTGTTACAAGTTATTGAAGCTGTTTTTGTTTTAATGATATTTACAAAAAGGTGTTTAAGCAAACCTGAGGCGTAATAACGTCATTTGGTTTGTCAGCTAATCTTTCGCAACCCATTGTATCAACGGGAGCAATTGCAGTTTTTCTATAGTCTTTGATGCATTTGTATACATCTTCCCAATTAAGAGGTGGTTGTATTTGTTCGTGAGTTGTTAACTTCTTGCTAAGTGCAGAGTGTTTTTGTTTGGTCATGATTAGGGCACTGATACTCGGAATAAATTTTTTTTTTCCTTGCTATGCTAGATTGTAGACTAACATCTTTATCGATCTAATATATAGTTGATTATCAATCAACTTACATGAAATTTAATTAATCTACCCAGCTTTAACGTTAAGAAAATATTACAACAGGGTGAAACCCGCGCTTAATTTTTGTTATACAGATCACATGAGGGTGAAATCCGCGTTGATATATAAGAAACACGCTAACGTGGATTTCACACTAACCCTATGATCAAAGCGGGTTTTATTAGAATTCACCTTGACATAACTTTTGAAAAATATATATACTAACCCGTCGCGTTGCTTCGAATTTGAAATTCATTTTCGATAACAGATGCTTTTAATAGCAGATAGCAGATTATTTCTTGTTACGTACAATTGTGTTGGTGCCAAAATTAACGATTCTTAACGTTAACATTAAAAAAGTTAGGCAAAATGTCATACGTAGTAATTATTTATATAAAATTAACATTACTCGAAGTTTTAAAAAAAGCTTAGTCGTGTTTTTGATAATTGCTTAATAAATTTTTTTTATGAATTTACAGAATTGTTAAAAAATTTTTTATTGGTTTTAGATAAGTAGCTATCAAAATATTATTAAAGTTTAAAAAAAATTTAGCTAGTTATAATATTTAAAATCTTCAATAACTCTTGAATGATTAAGTATATAAATTCATGTTCGCCAAAGTCTTTTTACGTGCTCTTTAAGGAATTCGGCAAATATATTTTTAATTGTACACGATTTACTATGTGCATCATGTTTGACACTTCAGTATCACCTACTAATGATAGACCAATAAATTATATTAAATTGATTCGATCTGGATCATGAGATCAAGGATTAATTAGAATTATTTCTGGCCATTTGGGCCACCCAAAAAATATATAAATTAATACGTATACGTACAAAATAAACTAACAGCTAATAATTTATTAATATATAGAAACAATTTATCATAATGATAACTTTTCTATATATTTAAAATTAAAAAATTAAAAAAGCAGATCATACTACAAAGCTGTATATTGAAATCAAATTTTTATTGATTCAAATCGATATAAATTTTATAGTTAATACTTGGATCTGTATATCCATATTTAATTATTAGATCCAGATATGTGTTTTTTTTCATCTAAAACTTTCTTTGTAGGAGCCTTTCTAATGCTAACCAAATCTCATCAATAAGCAAATACCTCTTAAATTGCTTTTCTAATTTATAATAAATTGATACAAGGCTATTAGGGATCTGCAAATGCCCATGCCAGGCAAGAGCCGTGCCTGTGTTTCTAGGCACAAAATTGCCAGACACATCATGGGTGCGGGCAGACATTATAAGGGCACAGGCACAAATGTTGTGACGACTTATGTCTGGCACTTCACATGACACATTTTTGTATCTATGCCCATGCCCGTGCCAACCCATGCCAAACTTATATCCCTAAAGGCTATCATTAATTATACCATAGCTTCAACTAGTAGTATATTCAAAATAAATATTTTCTAATGCTAACTTAATAAAGTGAAAGAAGCTTAGAATTCTCAACTTTTTATATAGGAATAATATATCAAGAAAAAGTGCTTTAATAATAATTATTTATACATATACATACTTTGAAGCTTAAATAAGCCACTAATGAAAATTTTAGCTATAAAATTATTGAAGATCTTAGATTTTTTATACATACCACATTTGCTTATGTATGTATTTATCGAATATATTCTAAGGTTGGGATCCTGCGGCCTAGTGGTCTAGGCATCCAACCCTCCACGAGCGAGTTTCGGGTTCAAGTCCTAGTAGGTACGTTTACTTACGAATATTTGGAAGTATCTGCTGTAGGAAGTCCAAGTGAATACAGGTCTGGATTAGGAATTTCCAGAAGGAGGTCCATTGTGGAGTAGTTGGCACTATGTGTAACAGTGGTTGTTACAGAAG